CACCTTAGGTGTATGTGGCTGGTGCCTTAGCCACTTGAGCCACAGGTGCCCAGCCAAAAAAAAAAATTCTTAAATCAACTTTTAATCATAAATATGAAATGCTTGTTATTTGAGTCAAAAATCAATTTTTAAGGCAACTTTTCTGGTTTACTTCAGAAATGTTTAAAAACTATGGTGCTGAAAAATATGGACCTCATTCAGTGTGTCTAATTCAGAAATCAGCATTTGTCATGGAAAAATGTGAGAGGAAGCTGAGTTATCCAGACTGGGGGAGTGGATGTTATCAGGTAAACTATATATTTATTATTAGTTATACCAAATATTATGTGTTTTTTTGTCTTTCATGGTTTTTATGTTTTAAAATATATGTATTTTCATGTAGTTAATTTACTGATCAATAATTTGATTTATATGAATATTAGTTTGGATGCTTATGTCTTGTGACAGTATTGTCATTCCTTGAGAAAAATTGCCTCTGTTTGTTTAAAAATATATATAATTAGCTTGGTGCCCATAACTCAATGGTTAGGACACTGGCCACATACACCAGTACTGGCGGGTTCAAACCCAGCCCAGGCCTGCTAAACAACTATGACAATTACAACAACAACAACAAAGTAAAAGTAGCCGGGTGTTGTGGTGGGTGCCTGTAAGTCCCAGCCACTTGGGAGGCTGAGGCAAGAGAATCGCTTAAGACCAAAAGTTCAAGGTTGCTGTGAGCTGTGATGCTCAGCACTCTACTGAGGGCAACGCAGACTGTCTCTCTGTGTATAGGGTGGCACCTGTGGCTCAGTGAGTAGGACACTGGCCCCATATACCAAAGGTGGAGGGTTCAAACCCGGCCCTGGCCAAACTGCAACAAAAAAATAGCCAGGTGTTATGGCAGGAGCCTGTAGTCCCAACTACTCTGGAGGCTGAGGCAAGAGAATCACCTAAGCCCAAGCGCTGGAGGTTGCTGTGACCTGTGACGCCATGGCACTCTATCAAGAGCAACAAAGTGAGACTCTGTCTCTTAAAAAAAAAAGTGTATAATTGCTATATATCAGTAGATTATATTATAATCTTACTTGTGGGCATATATTCTAAGGTAATGGTAAATAGTAATTTTGGTTTTGAACAGTTACTTATAATGGAAAAATGTTCAATTTTATTTCTAAAGTTCTGAGAAATGCACAATTTATAAGAATTACTGTATCAATTGCTAATTAACAATAGGTTTGTTCTTTGAAATTAGAAATGCAAAGGGGACAAAATACAGTTTTCTCTTTTAGGCTCAGTGCCTATGGCTCAAAACAGCTAAGGTGCCAGCCACATACACCTGAGCCAGTGGGTTCAAATCCAGCCTAGGCCTGGGCGGTGCCTGTGGCTCAGTGACTAGGGCACCAGCCCCATATACCAAAGATGGTGGGTTCAAACCTGGCCCCAGCCAAACTGCAACAAAAAAGTAGCCAGGCATTGTGGCAGGCCCCTGTAGTCCCAGCTACTTGGGAGGCTGAGGGAAGAGAATCGCCTAAGCCCAAAAGTTGGGGATTGCTGTGAGCTGTGAACAGCACTCTAC